CATGACACCTTATTGATTTTGAAACCACTGCTTGTTGAAAGCGTGGGATATCTCTGCTTATGTTTGAAATAAGAATACTTTGGTTTTCTGAGGAATTTTTCAGGCTATTACATATTAATTGCATTATTCAGGGTTTATATTAGAAAATGTAATGGTTTTATGCTCTGAACTGAGTAGGGGGCTGAATCAAATTACGGCTACATTTAATCCTTTACACTCCAAGATCAGAATTCATATTCTTCATACTGTTCTCTATACATATCCAAAGGTTGCTGACAAGGAGAATTTGTTTAACAATCAAATGCCTCTTTAGTGGGTGATCATTTTCTTTATTCACATGACCTTAAAGTTGGATTCAGGGGTGATATTTGTAAGGAGAAATTAGATGCTTACCACTCTTAGGGGTCAAAGGATTGAAATAACATGCTCTTTTAGGGGAGTTTGGGCATGCTCCCCTGTAAAGATTTGAAACTCTCTGACAATCCAGGACACTTGAGTGACAATTTTAGCCACACACTTATGTTAAAATCAGTTTTAAAATGTTTATGTCTTTGATCTCACTTCATAAAATGGTCTGACAACTTCCTGGTGTCTGCTGCCTTCCAGCCCCTGTTGAAAACCATGATTGTTGTTCAGGTTTGGCAGAATTGTTTGATCATGCACCCACCTAGAAGCCTTTGGAAAGTGATTAAAAGTGTCTTGCTCAAAGAACATAACACATTACTCTTAGTGCAAACCAGATCATTCTGATCACAACTCCAGAGGGCTTGATGTGAGGTTACTGAGTAAATCAATTTATGTAATAAATGTTTCTTTCAGATTGACTTTGATGCTGACTTGACTGTGAAAGGCTCTTTTCCATCCTTCTTCATCTTGTATCAGCTGCTTTACAAATCCCGCATTATCCTTGAGGACACAGATTATAGCACATATAGTGGTTATTTACCAGATTGGTTGTATTATTGGAGTGCACTAAGTACCAAGCCCCCCCTCCCTGGCTTTTACAGCTTACCAGCAGGAAGGACAAAGAAAACTTGGGGTAGGAATCATGATGTCAATAATTCTGTGGTATGGGAGGAAGGGAGTAGGAGGGGGGGGGAGGGAAGAGGGTTGAATGTATAATTTACATAATTTGCACAAAGGTTTGCAAGGAAGGCACAGGACAATACAACTGAATAGTTCCCAGTCCTTTGCAATCTCTCAAAGCAACGTAAGACAACCTTGCTGCCTACTACTCTGTACTTTCAAACTTATTGACAGCCCTTTTTGACATCACCTGCTAACCAACTGACAACTCAGAGGTTCAGGAGAGGGGGCTTAAAGTTTATGGTTCATATTGTCAAAGGCTACAAAGTCTAGCCATTTGCACATATCACTTGCTAAGGCAGCTTTTGATTTGTATTCTGTTATTACCCCCTGTTATTACCCCCTGTTATTACCCCCTTGAAAATGTTTCAACTTTGGTTAATGATGGATTGTCTTTCGATTTTTGGCACAAAAATTGCTTTATAAAGATCTACTCATTGATCTGGGAACCAAGCCCTAACTGTCCCAAACTATGGTCTGGTGCTATCCTTTTGGAAGTAAATTTAGTATTTCTTGTAACTGTTATTGTATAACTTGAATTCATAATTTTCCACAAGGTCTTACAGAAGAGGACTTGACCAACTACCAGATCAAATGTAACAAATCTTGTGCTGTAAGAATAGAGCGGTATTACACTTGGACAGATGGGGTAGAAGCAGCACTCTGTAAACACAAGAGTAAACAACGATTCCATGAGGTGGCTCTGAAGCGGTGCATGCGAAGTCAAAAACAAATTCACAAGACCTTTCCAAAGGCCTCATGTTCTCAAAGAAAAAGAGCTTTTAACAAATTCCAGAATGAGCATCGCAGCCAAAGAAACATTCTGTCCAAGCAAAAGGAAGGTGCAAGTGAATACATGAGTCTACAGTCTCCCCACAAGATTGGCCAAGATTATATTGATGGTGAGTTTACGCCTCGCTCTGGAGAGTAAAGAAAGCTCTCTATGGGTGCAAAAAGTGTACATTGTAATTATGTGAGGAATAGTTACTTATAGTTGAAAGGTAATTATCAACTTGAATTTGAGAATGGCACTGATAAACCATCTCAGTAAAATTTGGAATGCTGAGCTTTGAGTTATATCATTTTTAACCCTCGAACTCCTTAGATAAAATTGTTATTTCCCCTCAAGGCGCTACACATTTCCTTTCACTGGTAAGCGTGTAGCAATTTTCTTAAATTTACTTTTGACAAATGTCTCCCTTCAGAGGTTTAGAATCAGAATGCACTGCAAACAAAATTTCTGGAATTCTTTTCTTCCTTTTTTTTTTTCGTTATCGCAGGATATCTTCACAAGAGCGGCATCAAACAACTTGAAAGCTATGTTGAATTTGCTAAACGCCTTGAACAAGAAGTTGACGTAGCAGAGCTGTCTAAAGACATTCCAGTGTGTGTTCTTCTCGTTTATGATAAAATGTCTTCCTTAGCGCAGCAAAGGTTCATTTCGGCGGAGGAATTCCTTGATGTTGCGAAGGATTACTTCGAAAGAGTAAAGAGAGTTTGGAATTGGCAGAATGAAAATGGGCCTGAGGCAAGGCAGGCATTCCGGGATTGTTCAGTTGTAAAAACACATTCGTCTTATAGGTGAGTTTTACTTGTCATGTTTTTAAAGTTATTCGAATCACATTTCCCTGACTAATGTGATTGGACCTTAGCCTGCTCCATGTGTGCAGTTGCATGTAGTAAGACTTAGCACGACAATAGCCGAGGAGTGAAAACAAAAAAGGGGTTGGGTCGGGTCGGGGTGGACCCAGACCTCTCTCGTTTTCGCTCCGCTGCTGCTCTCGCCCCGTGTATTATTTCGCTTCGTTTTACTTACTGACCGCCAGAATGAATTAAAGAATGATTTCCTGGCACGTTATCGGGCACCAAGGAACAACTGGGCGAAGATATTTCAATTTACAAGCTCGTTAATTCGACAGCGGCCATGTTTGATTTAAAGTTAGAGGGGATAGTTGGGAGTAGGGAAGGAAAGGCGTAATAATGGCTGTTTCTTTCTATTTTTTTCCAGCGCATTTGTTCAAACTGGGAGTGAGTCACATTTTAGGAATCTTCGACTCAATTTTGAGGGACTAGAAAAGTTACAAACATGGCTTGATGAAAACCAGTGGATTACTAAGCTACTAGATCCAAACTTTGTTACAATTCTCCGTGGAGCTCCGTTGCAGAAATTACCGTCAAACGAACTCAGCACTCAGGCGTTTCATGCGTTGAGAAAGATGGTGAGAATCTTCCTCAAAACCGGACGGAGAATCGACTTCGATAGAATTCTAAGAAGACTGGCCGAATCTGCCAAAATATTTTTGCACACGAACTTGGAATACGTGGAAAACTTAGAGAGGACCCTTTCACGCGAGTAAATTGTAATTAAATTCCAGTTTCCCCTTTTTGCAGTTTTAACAAATTGCGACTGCGGGTATATGGAGAATTGATAATCTGAACTTCTCAACACTAAGAAAAAAAATCTGGGTAATACGTCGCTTCTCCTTAGCGATAATATACTCAGCCAAAACAAGTTTGTGAGAAATTTGCGATATGAAATGAGGCTTCTTCACAATTACAGTACGTAAAGAGTATCTCTTCGCTCTTCGTTCCTTTACCGTCAGAAGCTCTTTGAGTTAATTCCCTTCGATAAGTGTGGTATTGCAAGGCCATGTTCATCCTTTTCCCTTTCGTTCTATTCCATCCTATTTTCAAATCCTTGACCAGTTTTTCTCATCAAATTCCCTTGATTTGACTCGGCGAACTCTGTGATCATGCATTATTTACCTCTACTGAGTAATTCATGGAGAAGCCCGTGAGACCCCTTGCAATGACTTGTCTGTGCGATAAGCCCTGACTATTCCTATTATTTATTGGAATTCGATGTTACTAGATTAAAAATAGTGCTTTGGGATTAAAAAGCAATCGCTGTCAATTCTCTTAACTTTGTAAAACAAAACACGATTTTTTCCAAGATCTCTTAGTTTGCTATTTACGTGGACGGAGAGTTATTTTTTCCAGTTCTAATACAAAATTCCCTTCTCCGTTAGTCCGAGACAACCTAGTGTGCTCTTTTAGTGAGCTTTCTCGAAGTAATTATGTGTTTAATACACAAAATCGGTGTGAGCACCATTTACTTGCCGTTCCGTTTACAATTAACTGATTAATCCAAAAGTTTGGAATATTCATATCATTCGGGCACCATTTATTAATAGATTTTCTCAGCGTTAAACAGTTTAAAGCTTTTCCGCTCTGCAGCCCTCGAGCAAAAGCCTTCCACATTAACTAAGCAATAGTAAAGTTAAAGAGAGAAAGTTTCTAAAGAAACTGTGGTTCTGCGTCGGTGGCAAAGAATAAAAGGGTTATTGAGAATTATCAACTGAGTTGCTAGCGTAAATTTGCCACAGTAAAGAATGTGAAAGCTGACGTTTCGAGCGTCAGCCCCTCGTCACAGTGAATGGTAAAGTTACTTAACCAAAGAAAGAGAATTGGACAAAAGACTTCGTTCTCTTGATCAAAGCTTTTTTCCCAAGCGACCCTAATTTCTAGGGAAAGCCTTCAGCAGACTCCTCACATCCTCTGTCTTTCCACTTAGAAGAGTTAGAGGTTAAAGCGAAGCAAATCATCATTGTTAAAAAATGGTGCATCATATAACAGTTATTTAAGGGTAATAACGGCCGAAATTGGTGTTCATCGTGGTTTGCTTCTTTGATTCTCATCTTTACCTTTTCTTAAGATAAAAAAAAACTTTATTTTCAATATTAACCCTTAAAATTGCAGAAAGCCAGAGGAAAACTATGATGAAGAATCAATGCAGCAAACCTTATCGATCTATCGCACATGATCTGTTCTTGATGCAATGTGTAAGTGATATTCTCCAGGAGAAAAGTCTCTAAATAACTTAACAAAAAAACTTTACATTTAAACGAGGGTGATTCTTAAGACATGAGAGTCAATAAGAGAGAAAACATATCCTTTGTTTGTAGCTAGAGCGTAAATCGCACCTTGATCATATTGCCACTTGAACACAGCGCAGAACACTGACAAGAACGATTGAAAAAAAGTTTGCGTCACGGTTCCTTGTTTAAGTCGGGCGTTTGTTTGAACCCATAGCGACATCGAAATTTTGGTCATGCCTTTTCACACGCTTTTTCAAACCTGTGCTCCATGTTGAAACCCATTACGCCATCGACATCCCCTCCAAGACTTCGCCAAAAAGAGGTAAGCGGAGAGCGTGCGCAGAAACTTGGTCACATATTTCTGGCGTAGCTAGTATACTACTGGCCAGTCAAAATTGATGAGAGGATTCCCAGTGCGTCCTGCTGAGCTATATCCACCATCCAATAACTCTTATGGCATCCTGAGGTTTAACTGAATATCTTGACTTTCTGTCTGGTTTTCTGTTCCTTTGCAGAGTTGACTTAAAACTGTTCTGAATTCCGCCATTCGAGCGGCGTACAAAATTGGATTAACTAAAGAGTTAGCTATTGTTAAGGTAGTCAGGACAAACCCAAGTCGAGCCTTAGCATGTACCGATATTTTTATGTAATCTTCAAAATAAGGTGTGCTTTTGATAAAAAAGAAAACTAACTCCGGCAGCCATGTCAGTAAAGACGCCAACGTCATCATAAGCAAGGTTGTTGTAAGCCTTTGCTCTCGGTTAGATCCTCCATCATGACGTGGGCGTGGACTACATCGGACTTTGGCTAAAATGGAGATATATGAAGCACAAATCACAAGGATGAAGAAGATATCTATGGAAAAATAAATGTAGTAATAGTATGTCAGTAACTTAAGACTCCGTGTGAACAGTTGGTGTAGTACAACTGGAATGGAGGATAACAGCACGGAAATAAACCACATCACGAAGATGATCACTCCGTAATGCCAGTTGCTGAGAAGACGGTGCTGTATTGGGCGAAAGGTGGCGTGCAGCCGTTCAAGTGAAATAGCTGCGAGATTCATTACTGAGATAAACTGAAACAGTAAAGTCACTGAGATGACTGAATGATATCTCCACTGGTCACATGATATCTTCTTCCCTGCGATATATACCGGTCCAGAGACTCCCCCGACCAACAGATCGACGATCGCTAAGTGGATGATCAAGTACGTGCTCCGGCGCTGTAGCTGGCGCTGCTTCACAAATACAATAATGGTGATGATATTGAGGATGACTATAGCCAGACATTCAATGATGAGCACAAAGAGCCATGGAATACATTCTGATGCAGCTGGTGCCTCTGAACTATCCTCGCTGTTGTTAATGCTGGCATTGCTACGGGTGTTGGTAGCCATGAAGTTTCACTCTGAGGGAAAAACTATGCTCTAAATTGTTTCTTTCTTTTTGTTTGCTCAGTTGATTTATTCTGAGAGTACATTTTTTGCTGCTAAGCAAATAGTATGTAATAGCTATCTGAATGTAACCCCTTCCCAAGAAAACTGCCCAAAGAAAATCTGATCTGATGGGGTGCTAAAAATGATATCTGGGCTTTTAGAGGATCTTTCTAAGTTGACTCCAGTCTGATTGAGTTGGTGCCTTCGAATTTCTCTTCTTTCCTTGTATAATAACTTGAAAGCCAACATGCGCGAACGACTGTGAGGCGCTTTGTAAAAAAAAACTGAAAACTATAGAAATATAACTGCTAACGGAGGAAATTTTCTCTTAATAAATAGAAGGCAGTCACAATACCAAGCTAAGTTTTGTTGGAAAATAGATGAAAAGTGAAGTAGAATCTGCAGCTGCAATCAACTGCAAGTTATCTTTGACCCCGATGTCTCGCCATGTAGAAGCGCGATCGGGTTCAATTTGGATAACAAAAGATCTTATTAACCGTTAGAGCGGCCTTGAAAATTTGTACTTTCAGCGAATTTTAAAGCAATTATCTTATCTAGTAGTGATATTTGCATGAAAACACTGACTTACCTTCCGAAAAATCTTTAATTCTATTTAATGTCGGTGGCCTCAGATTCCAAAAACCTCGTGAAATTAAGTTATTGCAAATAGCAGTGGGGGCTATTTGATGAAATTAAAATAGAGTTTTAATTCCTATTGCAAGTCAAGTCAACATATGATTTATTGATTATTCACCCGCATATAAACTTCATTGTTATCTTTTGACAACAATTTAAAAAAAACTGCAAATTGTTTCTTGAAGGAAATTGAGTTTTAAGTGAACGTCAACAAGAGAGACGCACGTAATATTTAAATACCCATTTTCTTCGAATGGAGACATTGTACTCTATTAAAAGCCTCAATGAAAACAAAAAAAAAATCATTTGTAATTAATCAACTTTATTCCATATTCAGAGAGTTGATGATAAATAAGAAAAAAGTACCTTGTAAGTTTTTCTTTAGGTGACAATTCTTTGGCGACATTGCTCTAAAAACGTGAAAGCTGAACTTTTGCAAATAATTAGGAGTCCACAACAGTCGTGTAAGAAATGTTTGGATCTGAGAAACGCGAGTGACTACAATGAAGAGGAACTCAATTTAACTTGAATAAATTGTGTTTGAACAAAAGATATCTTTACTATACCGTTCGTAATCTTACACAAATATTATGACCACATAGGGGTAAAAGTTAATGAAAGGAAGACGAATGTGTGAACCCTAAAGACCAGAAAAACCAGATTAGAGAAACTTTCTAACGGATTATTTTTTATAATCAGTATGTCTACCGATTTTACATAGCTTGGATTTTGCCAGGTCAATAAACGACCACCACTCCCTATTTTGGACTGAAGAGCTCATTACCACGTAGTTATCTCAAATACAGGGATCCAGTTCCATTGAAAAAGCGAAATCACTCAACAAACCGTGGGTACGAGCAGGGCGGAGAGATGCCCTGGTACGAGTCAGACGTGATTATATCTCTGAGCTGATAGCGAATGGTTTTTCTCTTATGAAAGATCTGATCTATAGTAACGTCTTTACTACAGTTTGTGCTTGATGGGAAGTACTTGACAAAATGTATAAATTGTCAAATTTTGATCCAATCTCCTGAAAAAAACTTTCATGATGCCTGGTGTTACACATTCTGGGAAACATTATTTTTGGGGGAAGGGACGGACTTGCAAGTAACCTTTTTAGAGATGAATTACATGAGTTATGTTTATTACGTGGATGATCACCAAGAATGGGGAGGCGTTCAAACTACTTTTGCCCCTCATTCTAGCTATCGAGATAACTTTATGATTTGATTTGTTTTGTTTTGTTTTGTTAAAAAGAAATAAAGAAAAAAAAGAAAAAAAATATATGTATATATATATAAAAATATAGGAAGTCTGTGTTTCGATTTTTCCGTAACACAGTGCTCGATACGTAGAAGTAGAGTGCGATATATATTGAGATAGAGAAAACACATGATTAATTTTATATATTTTACTGATGTAAAACTAATATAAAAGTAAAAATCTCGAACTGATCTCGTACAGAATAGCAACTCTTTTCCAGGTATCCTCAGCCTCCAAGATCAGAGTATAGTTTGTTAGAATATCGCTTCTATTGTTTATCAGAGTGAAAGCAAGTTTAATCGCCTTTTTAACACCAAAGCTATCAAGACATCTGTTCAAAGAGGAACGAACACATCGATGCGAATTTTTCTTTTTAAGGGTTGTTTTTTCAGGACCTTTGTTGTCATTTCAGTGGGCAATGAAATTGGTTTTTTGGAAATTGTAATGGTTATGATTAATTGGCGACAGGACTTCGTGTTGTCCAATTCTGTCTGTAATCATACTCGTGATTGACATATCGGACTCGAATTAGACTCCACTCAATCCTTTTACCATTGTTTTGATAGTAGTGATTTAAATATTAATTAGAATTATTATTAGAATTATTATTATCATTTAACATTAGTACTATCATCATCACTTTCTTTATTACAACCCGTTTCCTTTTGCCAAAATTAAGGAAAAATTCCAAAACTAGTAAAATCAAAAGGAAATGTTGCTTTTTAAAGAGGCGGCTTGCTTACTAAAATGCCATTGCAAAATGCAATTTGGAAGCCAATGGTTCTGCATTGAAACGCAGCTCTGGAGGATTAAATGTAACTATGCTCTCTCCATAAAACCTTTGCTATTTCAGCATCATTGCGCCCCTCTGCTAGCCTTCTGTTATCTCCAAGTATTCGAATCCAGTTTTAGGTTGATTCCGTATGATTGTACATTTGTTAGTTTTAGATGTTTTCGCACGGAAGCTTCTAGGTCTGAAAACCACTTTGTGGAATATGTATTTTTGGGTACAAATTGTCAATCTTAAAATTTCGTGTCGACATCTGGAGCAATAGAATACTTTGCCAGTGCAAATTGCTTAACTTCCCCCGCAGTGTTTTTAGTGAAAATAATAGAGGAATCAAAAACAGCTGGGATTTTCAATTTGACATTTCAGCAAGAGTTCAAATTAAGGCAAGAGGCACGATATTTTGATCAACCTTAATGTATTTCTGTTTAAATTTTTAATCGAGACGTGATCAGAGTTACATCTTTGCGCTCTTCCCTTTGAAATGATAATTTTCTCAATGGGTAATGCCTAATTTGTTGCAGATAAAAATTCTTTGAAGTGAAAAATTAAAGTGCAAGAAATACTAATTCCAACTGAATAAAAAGGGTTGTTCGTGCTTTAAACCAAAAATAAAACAGCTGCATCAATACAGAGCTTTCCGGCTAAAATCGTAATAACGCTTCTAACACTAAAAATTGCTTAATTAGTTTGACGGTGCAGGGAAATGGATGTGCGTTGCTCAGCAAATTGCTTCATGTTGACACAGACTCCGACTATTAGTATTAAATGAATGCAAGTCGAAATCCTGGAAGGATCGGCTTTACTTTGCTTCAAACTGCGCTCCCCGTTGCTTCAAGGTAGATTGCCGGAAAAAAGCGTTTTGACGTTCTCCATTTAAGGTAAGATCGTGAATTAGATAAAACCAACTTTCTTACCAAATCTTAGAAGCAACGTTGGCAATACCTATACAAAACTAATCTCGGCGCTATCATTTTGCGTGATGAAAAATCTTGCTTTTCACTTCTTACAAGTTTTCCTCTCGAACCGTTGTATACTTTTTTTGTGCAGTGAGCTTAGAAATTTGAAGATCTTCATTCGTGAACAACCGACACGTGAGTCGAACATTCTTCAATTTCAATTTATTACTACAAGCCGGTCAAATCCAGCTGAAAATAATTGACAAATATGGGCAGAACTTACTTGTAAGATACATTATCCTTTATTGTCAATTTCAGAATCACTTCAGATAACTTATTCCAAATCTAAAATGCTCTATCAAAATTCTTGGGTTTCATGGGTCAAAAATTTAAAGGTATAGTAAGGATCTTATCATTATAATTATCATTATCATTTTCTTTATCATCGTTATTATTATTTATATTATTATCATTACTAACACTTACATTATAATCATAATTCTCGTTATGGCGGTCCTGAATATTTGATGTTTCAAGTCAAATTGACTCTAAAAACCACGCCACCTACATCGGAGAGATTGGAAGAAACCTCACAATAAGGCTGACTGAACACAAGCGAGCGACGTAGAGAGGTGAACATCATCGACTTACGAACCAAACTGTTGACTGGGACTCTGCGCAATTCCTAACCTACAGCACCAACTTCTTTCAAGGACTGACTCTGGAAAGCTGGATTAGTAACTTAGAGCAGACTTCCCTCAACAGGTGTCAACCACTACCGACACCATACAAACGACTCATTCACGACATTAACATCACAAACTAACCGAACAGAGCGACCTTACTTTACCGATGTATCGAGACCGACCTACGCCACTTGAGTCTTAAAGCCAATAACATCATTGCAAAACTGACTCATCAATTTATACTGACCGTACCTAGAACATTCGACTGACAACAACTATTCACATGTTACCGCCGGGTTCAAAACATTTACTGATGTGATTTTCTTATTCAATTTTCCTTGACAGTTCAAATCGTAATTGACTTGGCAGAACTGGAAAAGAGAGGCGTTAGCTCAAGATGTTTCCCAAAGCCGAGTGCATAACCTGGATTACTGTCCTTTTTGCAGCTTCGTTTGCCACTGTAACTCTCAATGCCATCACAATTTTTATCTTCATAAAAAATCGCAATCTTCGTAACCGTAGTGCCTACCTGATCATAAATCTGGCTGTTGCTGATATGTTAGTGGGAGGTTTTAGCACATTTGATCTATCTTACTCCTATGGACAGATTTGTAGAATTTGGAAGTTTAATTCAAATAGATTTTCTTACTTTAGATCAGCTGCTATCTTTCTTTTCCTTGTCTGTTCCTTAACAAATATAACTGTCATTTCTTTGGAACGGTTACACGCAACATACTGGCCATTCAGACATCGTGTTGTAAAGAGGTGGATTTACAAAGCATTGATTGCTATTACTTGGATTATAGCTGGAGCCATCTCATTGGCTTATATGACTCTTAGAGTATTAAGGGAAATGTCAAAGTATCTTTATTTATGGAATCTGTTCAATGCCTTCTGCTTGACGATAATCTGTATCTCTTACGCCTCAATTTATGTCAAAGTTCGTCACGGTGCGCAGGGTCTGTATCATAACGCTGCCACGAGAGAAAGAAAACTGACAGCGACATTGTTCATTGTAACATTTCTTTCTCTTTCGTTGTGGCTTCCTTACTTTGTAACCTGGGTTGTCATGGAAGCCTCTGACTATTTGGTAATGCCACCTTTTCGTTTATTTTACTTTTTCATTTTTTTATTTCACGCGAACTCTCTCATTAACCCCATATTATACCTTATCAAAATATCAGGCTATAGGAGAGCTTTCATTGCCCTATTTAGAATACGTTGTCAACAGCAAAGACGAGGTCACGTTTTTCCTATTAATGACATATGATATGGAAATTATTGAGTTGAATTGAGGCTTAGCAATTCATGAAAAATTATTGAAAAGGCCTGACGTTTGCATCGAAAGGGAAGATGGAGGGAGCATGCTTTTAACTTTAATCGAACTAGATTATTTGCCCATCTTCTAGGTTTCTGTGCAAAATGTGTCTTTACTTGAAGCTGTGAAGCGTTTTATGGTAGAGCTGTTTATATTTCTCAAAGATCTAAGAATTCAGCTCTGCAGGCAGTAATTTCTATAGAACTACGTAAGTTGGTCAAATAGGTTGATATCCATAATTGAAGTTTTCACCACAAATTTGAAAACTGTTAGTCATTTGATTTTGACCTTCTGTAACACGCATATGAACTTTTTCATTGGGTATTGATAACAGTTTCAGTGTGATTACGTTGTAATAACGTGTACGAGATTTTCCTACACGCCAGCTTCTTTATTCTGATATTGTTTGTATAATAATATACTCAATGTCGTTGGAAGATATTGTTTTACTCTGTCACATGTACATTCCAGTGTAAATTAATAAACATATTCTCTGTGGTTAGGAAGTACATCGCACACTCATTATCTCGATCACAATCTAATTTTTTGAGGGAGGCTTCCTTAATTTTAGTATTATTATTTTAGTACTCATCATCATCATCATTATCATTATAATTATCATATTTATAAATATTATAATTTTGTCGCCTTTATTTAATTATTCCAAATAACCGAAAATTCCCAAACAAACAAACTAAAAAAATCTAAGTAAAAACGTCGTTTTGGGGATAAGTGGTTACGTAATAATACACATTCAAAACTTTCAGCATACTCATTGGGCGAGAACAAGTCAATTAATTCCACACAGGGTAGAATTTTAAAATTGAGTGAAATGTTTGAAATTGATTAACAGGAAATACGCGAGAGCACGACAAAACAAATTAGCGGAAAGGTGAGGGGCAAGTTACATGTTTTAATTCAGTGTTTAAGGGAGAATGCTAAAACATAACCACCCAACAGGTCTGGAAGACTTGAGCTTTCAAAAGCGGCTATGAAAGTGTGAATCGGAGGCTCCTGAATAAAATATTCGAGGAGTTTTACGCAACAGTTCCTATGAATCTGAAAGACAGGGAAGTTTACGAGTGGGATAGCATTCGCGTAATGGTTGCTGCTAACCGATGGCTAACAGAGAAAGAGTAAAAGCGTTCGATTATTCTTGGTAGATAGTGTTAAAGCTTGAAGCAAGTTCTTGAGGGAAATGCCCGACTACTCCGGCAACAAGGCAAAGGCAGGCGGCCGAGCCAGTAAGCCATGTCACGAAATAAAAACAATTGAAGAAGAAAACAGAGTCATGATTTTACTTGTATATTATCAACTAGTAATCACATAAATTTTCTGGTGCAATTTGGGATAAATCAGCACTCGTAAATCTCTCACAGACCAAAAATTGCAATTGTCCTACAGGCTTGTGCAAATGGTTAACGTCTGAAAATTTTGCTCATGCTGATCTATTCAAAATTTCTCTCGAAATCATGTGATTACCTGACTATGCAAATGACATTGGAAAGGTGTAATTTCAATGTTTTTGTTATTGCACTGAAACGCAGCTCTAATGGAAAAATGTAATTAAATTTCCTCAGGGTTACTTCTATGTACATGTGCCCATCCCTTTGAAATGACAATTCTCTCAGTGAGTAATGCTAAATTCGCAGCAGACACTAATTCCTTTGAGGTGGAAAATTATAGTGCAAGAGATACTAATCCAAAAGGGTTATTATGCTTTAAACCATAAATAAAACACCTGCATTAATACAGAAGTTTTAAAACTCTAATAACGCTTTTAGCTCTAGGGATTGCTTGACTAGTTTGCCGGTATAAATTGATATATGTGTTGTTAAGCAATTTGCCTCATGTGGACAGAGTCACAGTACTATTATTGTTTAGTGAATGAAAGTCGAAATCCTCGTAGGATTAGCTTTTGCTTTCAAGGTAAGTTGCCAAAAGCGTTTTGATTTCCTCCAACTTAGGTAAGATCACAAAATACTAAAACTCAGCAAATCTTAAAATCAACGTTCGCAATTACCTAAAAAAAAAAAAAAAAAAAAAAAAAACTGACTTCGGCGCTTTTCTTTTTGTGTGATTAAAAGTCGCCTTTTATACTATATAACCATATTTTCACAACCGTTGTATGCTTTTTCTCCGCAGTGGGCTTCGAGATTTTACAAAGAATTTGAAGGTCTTCTTCCTTCGTTCACGTAAGTTGAACATTACGAGCAGGTCAAATCTTGCGTGTCATATTAGAATCACTTTAGGGAATCTACTACTTGTGGCCCTACTACTTGTGGCCATTTAAATGCTTTATCAAACTGGTTGTGTCACATAATTCCAAATTATAAAGATGAATTACCGATATGGATCATAAGAGGATAGTAACCATTTTCTTGTTCTTCATCATTATTCTCATTGTTATCATTTATTACCGTTTCTTGTATCACTGCTTTCACTGATGTAAGATCTAAGCTCTTGCCGATTATTTTTCGTGTCATTCGTATTTATTTATTTCGTTCTCTATTTTTTTCAAACCTCCTCGTTAGTGTTTTTTGTTAAGTTATTAGCGTTTTTCCTCTTTAGTTACACCTTCTCACTCGTTTCACATACCGCACGTTATTTCGCAGTCCTCTTGTATTTAAAGCCAGTTTCTTTTACGCATAATGGCTTTTCAAGTCAGTTTACCTAAAGTCGCACTTGGTGCAGATCTCTGTTTTAGAAGTCGGTTTTGCAGTTATATATTACACTATTATATTACATATTATCCGTTTCGCTTCGTTTCTATTCTTTTTTTTTTTTTTAGCTTGTTTACCTAAGTTAACTTAGCTCCTACTTATGTTTTTAGTTTCAATTTACCACAACTGTTCCTCTCTAAAATAAAGTATTTCGAGTTGGAATTAAAACGTTTTTGCTGTTGCAATTGATATCATCATGGTCATTACTGATTTCCATTATTGTAATCATGAAAGTTGTTCTTAATTCAATTCAAATTTGTAGTTAAACTACATGAATTGTAAGGTTGCATCTGGGTTCTTAGAACACATAACTGGTGGATGAAGGAGACAAAATCAATTTTGTCTGTAAATAATTGAATAAACAACAAGAGAAAGATAAAATAATTAATTCTCTTCCACCAGGACCAACAAAAACTCATTAAAAACGACATAAGATTCTCATCTATGTAATTTTCTCATTCAATTTTCCTTTGCAGCTAATACCGTGATTGACTAAGCAGAAGTGGAGAAGGAAAGGAACTACTTTAGTTCAAGATGTTTCCCAAACCAGAATGCTTTACCTGGCTCACGATATATTTTACAGTTTCGTTTGCCACAGCAGCCCTCAATGCCATCACAATTGTTGTCTTTAGAAAACATCGTAATCTTCGCAACCGTAGTGCCTACCTGATCATAAATCTGGCTGTTGCTGATATGTTAGTGGGAGGTTATAGTACATTTCATCTATCTTACTCTTATGGACAGACTTGCAATAGTTGGAAGTCTGATTCAGGAATAATTTTTCATTTGCGAATAGCTATTGCACTTCTTTTTCTTGTTTGCTCGTTAGCGAATGTTACTGCAATTTCTTTAGAGCGCGTGCACGCAACATTTTGGCCGTTTAAACATCGCGTTATAAAGAAGCAGGTTTACAACGTAATAATTGCTGTTACTTGGATTACATCTGGGAGCATGTCATTGGCTTATATAACTCTCACAGAATTTAAGGCGTGGTCGATATATTTTTATTTGTGGAATTCGTTTAATACAATCTGTTTGTCGGTGATCTGTATCTCTTACGCCTCGATTTTTGTAAAAGTTCGTTACATTTCACAGGGTTTACATCACAACGCTTCTACAAGAGAAAGAAAACTGACTGCCACATTGTTCATTGTAACATTTCTATCTCTAGTTTTGTGGCTTCCTTATATTGTGAACAGGCTTCTCATGGATGCATCTAACTATTCTATAGTGCTGCCTTTCCGCTTACGACTCTTTTTTGCTTTTTCATTTCATATCAACTCTTTCATTAATCCAATATTATACCTTATTAAAATACCAGGATTTAGGAGAGCATTCATTGCCTTATTCAAAATACGTTGTCCACAGAAAAGACAAGTGCAAGTTTTTCCGTACTAAGGGTACATATGACATGACACTAAAAGAGATGAACAAGTTGAAATGCTTTTTCAAGTAATTCTAGAGTAAGACGCTGTCATTTTACCACTTTATCAGACTTTCCTGAATAAACAAATAAACAGTTTCAAACGCTCAAGTTTAGGACACAGTTTATTTTTAAGTAAGTCCATACCATCCTTAGTGTTTTGATCTTAAGTTACCTTAAATTTATAAACCTTCAAAAGGATTTTATTCATCATTATCGTTATTGTTATTATTATTGTTACTATTTATATTAAACTGATGGGTATCGTGAAAAAAAAATTTTCAAATCATATTCCAGTAGAGAGTTAAAAACTTGACATCTATTTGGCTAAACTTCAAAGTAGAGCACATGTGGGGTAGATTGCAATTATCTCGCACCGTTGATAACCATAGGCGACCCAACCTGCCCTTGAAAGTTGGCTTTTGCACCTGTGCCGTGCTTCTTGTCAAATATCACTGAGAACAATTGCTTTTGATAAACTGGAGAACCCAAAGCACATACTCGCTGCATGACCATGAGCACTACGCGGCGAGAAGTGATTTTTCTTGCGACGACTTAATGATGCACCTGCGTCACTACCTCACCAAAAGGCGAATTTCTCAGAAACGTCATGACGCTTTTAGTGGCATCAATTGTCTGGCGACTTTGTGGGAGTAAAAAAAGATATTTTTTCTATCCCACAAATTTCTTTATCAGTTTTGTTGTCTCAAGATCCAGACCATTATTTTTCAACCAGCCAAATCAGTGGAAGCCCTTACTTCGTCTTTAAAGTAATCCTAATTCGTGATTCTCTACTCTGGCAAGGATTGTTGAAAAAACTATAAGTTTTGGTTCTTGCGTAACTACCATCAGTTAGAAGTTTCGACTATGCGCATCGGCTAAATACTGTATCAAGTTGTGATTTATCGCTAGAAAAGAACTTTTCAGGTTCAGGCTGGTGCAAAAACTTTAATTTTCGACATTTTCTTCTGTAGCATCACTCCCACACGAAAAACTTTTGCAATGTTCTTTCGCCTCTGACCTCCTTCCAATATTGTTAATTACCGATGCGCCCATGCCACATCGCAAACCAACTCTCAGAGGAACAGGGGAGGCGGTAAGTGTCCTATCAAATGTGTCTGGGAGTCTCCGAAACATGATTAGTTGGGACACTCCTCTTAAACGAAGTTCAGATGTTCGTTCACCTCTCACCCCTTCCAGTGTTGTCAATTGTAGATGTGTCCACGCCATCTTGCAAATCAACATTGACTGGAGCAGGGGAGGCAGTAAGTGTCCCAACAAATCTGTCTTGGAGTTTAGGTAAGACTCGACCAACGTTACCCTTAACACAGAAGTCTCGCAAATACGCCACACCGCAGGAGACTGTCCATAAATGACCTTCATGAAATTCAGATATGTCAAGGCCCGAATTGGAAGACTCCCTAATCGTTCTTTTATTTTCTCTTGATCTTTACTTATCTATATATTTAGCTATCTATTTCCGATTCATTTTTCAGAAAAGAGAGTAAAACAAGTTACTTGGGGTTTTGATGATAGAAAAAAAAGTCAAGAGAAAATGATGGGACAGAGAGGGAGAGGGAGGCTATTGTTCTAAGGATTTGGAAAACGTCACTTTCATTAGAGTTATTTGTTAACAGTCTCTAGTGCGAAATTCGAATTTGATACACATTACTTCAATTAAATGAGTAAAAAAGAAGTCAAAATTATCAAAAATTTATTTTTGGCAAAGTGTTCAAGTCAAACCGAAGTAGTTTGGAAACGTAGGAATAAAAACATACTTATCGACTTTAATTTTACGGTTAAACCTGTCGGATTCTTTATTCTGGATTCTGAATCTATTATTGACGAGTTAATTTCTACAGAGGTAGAATTTCAAAATTTCAGTGATTTTAATCACTGATTTTTAATCACCGACAACTGAGAGCAATAATTATCTCTATTCTGGAAGTAATCCAATATTACCAGAGGCAGAAAATTCTAGAGACCCCAAGCTGCTCGGTGTAAATCACTTTTGAGAGGATAATTGATTTTTGTTTTATACCGCAAATAAAACATCTGCAAGAGACGTTTTTAACCAGAAAAACCTTTTAAAACCCTTATAATGCTCTCAGCATCAAGAAATGCCCAATTTCCCCGACGGCAGCTATTAATACACGTTTCGATATCAGCTTGATTCATGAATTTGCTATGCAAAGTCCTTAAGAACATTATGATTCAGGGATTGAAGCCAAGAATTTAGATTGGAGAATCTATTTCATCGCGGTACAGACTGTCTTCTGCTCTTCTTTTCGTTAAGGAACCTGCAGGCTTCTCTATTGGCTCCATTGGGGTAAGTTTTATAAAAGGCTAGCTCAGTGTCATGACAAAATCTTAGCATCAAAGGTGGCAAGTACAATTTTAGAATGAACACTTAAATGTCAGATTTCTTTAGCCGTTGACACTTACAGTACTCCTTAATTCAAGCCTGTCAATTCAGACCATTTCTCATTACTTCGAGGCCTTGACATGTTTTATGTTTGCATCAAAATATGAATTTAATCAGGAACACCTTGAACATTCTTGCCAAAAGCTTACAAACAAACAATAATAAAACGAAAAGCAAAAAATTTTACGATAAAACGCGCGGCCATGAGGTCTTATTCGAACAAAAGAACATGCTAAGCTGAGCGAGAATATAACTTTTTTCCGTCTTTGTTGTTGTTGTCATGTTTATGTCACTGCACCTTTCTGTCATCAACTGAAAAAGCTACGTGAAATAAGAAGAAACTCGTGAATATGTAGTTTGGTAGGATTATCAATAAATCAAAAAATTTAAAGAAGTTAGTAATTCGCAAGACCTTTCAGGATTTGCCTTCAAACTAAAATTTCAAACGCATAATAAGGGCATTAATACGACCTTTGTACCTTTTATATAATATTCAACCTTTTTCAACCTTTTTCAACAGAGAGACGAGTAATTCATTTTACCAAGAGTGGAAAGGAAAAGGAATCAGTTCTAGATGCTTCCAAAAGCTGATTGCATAATCTGGCTTACAGTGACATTAGCATTGGCAATTGCCACAGTAACTCTCAATTTTATTGCAATTAGTATTTTTACAAAGCATCGTAATTTTCGTAACCGTAATGCTTACTTGCTTATAAATTTGGCTGTTGCAGACATGCTTGTGGGAGGATTCTGCACAGTGAACGAGTTTTATTATTATGGATGGTTTTGTAACATTTGGAGGTCTGACTGGCCCCGCTACGTATCATTTATGCGATTAGCTGTTTTTTATATCTTCCTTGTCAGTTCCTTAACAAATATCACTGTCATTTCTTTAGAGAGGCTGCATGCAACGCTTTGGCCGTTCAAACATCGTGTTTTGAAGTTGTGGATTTACAAAATCGTTATCACTTTTGTTTGGATCTTAGCTGGGTTTATCTCATTTGTCAATGTCGCTCTTATAAATTTTGGAAAATGGTCAGATTACGTTTATTTCTGGAACTCGTATAACGCATTTTGCTTACTTGTAATTTGGTTTTCGTACGCTCTAATTTTTTTCAAGGTTCATTTAGGATCGCAGGTCTTGCACCATGGTGCTGCTGCTAGAGAGAGAAGACTTACAGTGACTTTGTTTATCGTTACAATTCTGTCTCTAGCCTTGTGGCTTCCTTACATTGTAAACATTTTTGTCAATTATTCCACTGATTACGCTACGTTGTTACCCGGACTTATGTATTTTCACCTAGAATCCTCTTTCATCCTTTTTTTTCATACAAACTCCCTTGTTAATCCTATTTTATATCTGATTAGAATACCAGGCTTTAGGAGAGCTGCTATCGCCTTATTTAAATCACGATGTCGACAGCAAAGACAGATTCAAGTTTTTCCTCTTCGTGAAGTCTAAAATAAATAATGATGATAAAGTTTAATTTGCTCTCACTTATTTTTCAATGTGATGCTTTAGTTGAAGATAATCTACATGTATTGTCCTCGCGTTTTCGCGCTGACAGGAATTATATCTGATTAATTAAGTTATGGGTTAAAAAGGCTTGAGACTGATGATAATGAAACACCTTTCCTACTTACTTCCGATGGCGACATCCATTTTAGTTTTCTAATTAGTGGTCAAATTCCCTCGGCTTATTCTAACTGTCCTTTTCATCGCACAGTTGCCAAGATAGAACGACCTTTTAATCATAAATCAAGTGAGAAATTGCCGATATCTGCGTAAGAATGTGATTTTTACCTATTTTGCCACTGCTGAAGTAGTCTTGTCGTATTGCACTGAGTTGTTATCCATATTAATTATTAACTCGCAGTCCGACTCGAAGTCCAATCCCAGTTCTGAATTAAATATAAACTAAACATGTGTTACTCCCTTTTCGATAACAGGAACCCGACCTTTGAAGACCATCTGAGGATGTAATTTTTTATCAGGCGGAAGGCAAATTTTTTAAGCTACAGCTAACACCGGTACTGGCGCAGTTAAAATATTTACCTTTCATTTGTGTCTCCCATTTAGGCATAAAAACTCACTTTGTCAGGTCTTTCTCATTGATATTAGAGAAAAGGCGGCAACACTGAAGGAAGAAGTACACAGAAAGTTCCTGTTATATGAAGCCAAATTAGGAATTATTCCCCGGGTTTATGCAGAGGTTGCATTGAGTTGTTTCTGCCATTGATTTAATAATACAGTGCTACAGCTAGTTGTTTTTCGCTTCTTCCCTGGCTGGAAATTTCGCTACATTGCCTGCAGATAGCTTCTTCGTTGGTGTTGGGGTTATCTCGGCAAACATTTCGGGGTCACTGTGCCATCTTGAGCGGTAAACAATATCCGGAACACTTTTCCAGCGGATTTTGGATCGTCTTACACTGGATTAAAACCGCCAAACCTTTGAGAGAAACGTGTCAAGAGAGTTCATAACAATTATGCTTTTGTGAACGTTAGAAATTAGCATACGAGAAAAACATTCATAAGTCACGTGCAGTGTATTTATATCTGATAAAACACCGCATACTAATAAGGATGAGGTTTATCGATATAAAGTCACTGCACGTGATGTATTATCTACCATTTGATAGGTTAATGGGCTTATGAATTATTAATGAGTTTTTGAAGAGATATTTATGTATTGTTTTCCTTCATCTCCGAAGCATTTTCATCGATAAACAAGTTGTAACGTGTACATTTCCTTGCGTGGCCTTCATAATTATTCAACCCTGTTTGTGTTTGCTTCGATTTGAAATACTGAAAAGATAGTTTTGCAAGCTGAAATCGGGATCTTTTGAGTTGTAATCAAAATGATGAATATTGTCCTATTGACCTTTGAATGTACTTTCATTGCTGTGAAAACCGTGACAGAAATTCTTCTGCTGTTTCTCTGCAGGGTTTCTCAAAGGAAGCACCAAGTGGGGCTGGTATGGATTTTCTTATAGAACATAAGGGTTGATTATGGGATCCTGTATAGAATTCTTCATATCGAACCAACAAAATTCCAGATCACATTACACACCGACATCAGCGAATTCTCTTTTGATACGTGTTTCGAATTCAGGCAAAGGTTCAGACAGGTCAATGTCTTTTATGGGCTCAGCGCTGGCTCCCGAACAACTGGCTTCCCCATAATCTTTCATTAGATGAGAAAAAAGATGTTTTTAGAGAGCCAATAAAGCTGTTGTTGTTTAATTAACGAATGGCTTCCATGTAAATTGATTTTGTACTTTCTCTGTTGACCTGTAACTTTTGAAGAGCTCAACTTCTTTCTTAGTTCGGTCGGCCACTTCCGAATCCTCGTCGTCTGCCGACTGTATGAGTCGTTTTTATACTTCCGAATAATTTGCTTTTGGTAGGGCCTGAATCGTCGCTACAGCAACAGGAAGAAAAATGACTGCTACAAACACCAGAATGTTCGAACGGCTCAATTCTCTTCACTTCGGCTCACTTTCACTTGAACAAATTTCAATAATACTCGCTTGAACTTTGCGTCATTTGGAAATCTTTGCATTGTATGCCCAGCTTTGTTTGAATAAGTGCAAAACTGGACGACACAACACTTTACCATTATGAAAAAATTTGAATATATTGAAGCAAACTCTAAGTAAAAAAATCATGACGAGACCGGCAAACAACGGCTGCGGAGAAGGCTCCTACGTGTCTCACGCGATTATAAAACGAAACTTTGAAGGTACCACCCGTGGCGTCACAGGAGAGATGCCGTCATTCAAGATGGCGAATGTTTCGAATTTGGAAGAGCTTTTGCAAAGTGAAAATTGACTTTTGAGGAAAAAAGAATGGTACCCTTGGTGTACTTGATATATTTACTAAAATCTATGTGAAAAGAAAATAAACGTTTTTTGGGTTTACATGTCCTTTAAACAGAAACCAGACAGTTCGCTATTACGTCAAGTTGAGTTAATAGCCTTGGTTCAGCGAGCATCAGTTTACTATCAATCAGAGAAAAGGTGACATTAGAGACCTTTCATTTACGTTTTTGACCGATTAATGGATATAGTATTTCTTACACAATCATCTTCCAGACAGTTCCTGTCGTCTTTCTTAACTTCTTAAAAATAGTCATCCTTTTCAGTTGCCCGTGTGAGTTGCAACCAAATCACGTTAAATAATTTCACCCTGTGCGATACGAACTCGCTTTCTGTATATTTAAAAACACGAGGAGCCCTTCCTCTTCTCTGTAAGCTCAATTTGTCGTGCATTTATCAAGAAGAAGACAAACCACCCAAAGAAAACAAAGGCAAAGACGTTTCAACAAGGGATCTGCGTCATTCTTGGAAACGAAGGAAGACTTGGATATATTTCGCCATTGGAAGTTGTGGCTTTAGGTAAACTTTTACTTGCGTTCTACCATCGGAGACCAAGAAAGAGAAGTATTTCTCTGCGACCTAAAAAAGAAGGATTACATAAAGAAAATGAAGAAATTGGGATAATAGATATAAAAGGGTAAAAACTGATAATGTGGATATTATCGAGAAATAATATATATTACCTGTTTATTCTGTCAGAACAGGTAGTTATACCTTTCATTTATTTCATTCATTTCATTTTTGTTCTTTTTTTAAATTTTTTTTATTCTAAAGGGGTATTCTTGCATCAAGGAATAAAGCCACATCAACCAGCTGCCATGAATTTTAACTCGTGGAACGTGTTTTGGCGCTGGTGTTTTGCATCATTAGCGACTTTGATTGTTTTTGGAAATAATTTAACCATCTGGATATTTCTTGAACAGAGACGTCGCAAACGTGCTTCTTTTCTTCTAATCAGCTTGTCTTTTGCTGATTTACTGGTTGGATTGTTTTCAATCCCTCTTTTGATAACAGCATATGAAACATCTTCAGTGGCTATACGCAAGATATTCTTTCTTGTTGACGTTTTCACAGCCTTAGCTTCCATCTACACCCTTGGCGTCATTTCCCTAGAGAGGATGTCTGCCGTCGCTTGGCCTCATCATCACAGAACTTTGAAACTTCGTGCTTACACCTTTGCCGTTGCCACACCGTGGATCATGGCAGCAATATTCGCTGTTCTATTTTTAACACTTGACAATATACTGGGTCTTCTTATTGTTTGTCCTGCCGCGCCTCTTTTAGTTATGTGCATTGCATATCATGTTATCTGGAAGAAACAGAGATCATCGATAGGTAACCAAAATCATTTCGGCTTAAGAGAAGCGAGATTAACAAAGACTTTATTTCTGATAGCAGGAGCTTCTCTTTTCGCTTGGCTTCCATTTCAAATTCTGAATGTATTGACATATTTAGGCGTGACCGCAATTTTTCCTCATTTGCAATTGATTGTCTTGCTCGTTAGGTTATTACAATTTAGCAATTCTCTTGTAAACGTGGTGATCTATCCTTTCCGAATGCCAGAATTTAGGAATACCCTTTGGCGGATATTGCGCTGTTACCGTCGATTCCGCTCTCGGGTCCATCCGCTGGCTGGGTCTGGGTCAGTTATATCCCTTTTACGACTCACAAACTTCATGTTTTCCTCACAGAACCCCAATCAGGATAGCCCAGTTTGATTCCTTTTTTTAAATCTCTAGTCTTCGATTAACATCGCGACATGCATAAACATAAAAAATAAATTACAGCACGTTTGGGGTTCTGTTTGCTTTTCAGCTGAGACTGTCAGAGTAGGATTGGAGTAAGGCTTAGATTTATAGTGTAGGGTTGATAAAGTTTCCTATTGTTTATAATTAGAAAAGGAAGCACATCTAAATTCTTCTTGTTACGCAAATACTGCATACAGGAATTCTAAGTGATCAATGTCTTCAGAACTGCCGGGGAAAATGTTTATTGAAGAGCAAAGTCTGATTTGATAATATTCTAATTTTTAATGAATTTTAAACATACAATGAAAATTAAAAATACCCTTATCCCATAAGTATTCATCTCCATGCACTCGATTTGGAAAAGAACAAAACAGATAAGATTGGGTATATAAAAGCTCTTTGATAAATTTAAAAACAAATATTTGGATAGACATAAGCATTTGGATATATCAAGCATTTGCGCGAAACTGACAATCATTCAATAAAAATAAGAGATAACATGATGATTCATATTTGGAAGAAACTACATATAAACGTAATTTTTCATTCATTATCTAGCTTGAGTCGTAGATTAAGTTAAAAGGGATGTTACTAAAACCAAGAACGGGGCACTGTTGGAGGGGTATCGACATTTCCTTAAACAACGCATTACTGTATTTTACTACCAAATTTGATTACCCCTCAATTTCTTTTCTCATTTAAATTTAAGGACAACATAATTTTCATAACAGATTCTTATAAATACCCTCGAAATACTTTGATTAGAAAATTGTACTTCAGCAGCGCCTATATGCTATAAATATATATCTAAATACAGCAAACCACAAATGGCAAC